GTAAACCCTGCATCAATTTAGCGCTGTAAAAGGCTGTGAGTGCACGGGTAATGTTTGACCAATAACCATTTATTATTTTATTAAAGCTTCTTAATAAAATCCGGGTCAACATTAAGACTGCATCTGAAATAATAAGCAGTGTTCTATTGAAGATGAATGGAAAATATTGTTTTATGTCTTATATAATCCTTGTATATTCATCACTTACAGGAGTGTAAAGGGGTAGCTGTGCAGTTTCTATTTAGAGCCTACAGTTAATCCCAGAGGAAGTCATGCAGCCAACCTAAGTAGGGCAACCTTTTGCCAGGATTAGTAAAGACTGACCAGTTTTCTAGCCTAAAATCCAGCCACGAACGGTAGACCTGCGCTCCTATCTGTCTCTGCTTTGGTAGATAGGCTTGGGTGTAATGTTCACGGCTGGGTTCCAGACTATCACCTCCCCACTAGCCTCTATCAGGCTTCGGGAGAAGGCTGGGAAGCTTAAGAGTAGAAATTGGCCAAATAGGGAGCTCGAGAGATAACAGGCCGGGAGAGTTGGTCCGCCAAAAAGTACAGTGCGCGGCAAACTGTACTCAATAGCGGACCAACTCCCCTGGCATGTTATCTCTCTCTCTCTCTATTTTGCCAATTTCTACTCCTTCCAGCCGCCCCCCGAAGCCTGGCAGAGGCTACCTTCCCACGTCAATTTGAGAAATGCCATCTCCCATCCACTTCACACAGTGGCACAGACAGCAATAAATTTAAGTGTTTAATTTCCGTCTGGTTTCAACTGATCGCATGGGTGGCGTTCTACCCCGCATTATACATTGATGAAAATCTATCTTGATACAGTTGCACAATGCATTTATAGGGAGGAAATTACAAAGTTCTTTATGACGCATCCATTGCTAAGTATTATAGAATACATCATTCCAATCGTTCTAAATCACATCTGTGGTATATTACCAAGAAATGAAACGGACGCAGCTAGCTACACCTCAGCTCAGAGATGGCATTTTCTACTAGAACATGTACAACTTCTATTTTCTCATATTATTGTTGTACCAACAGAGACATGACATTAAAGCTTTGCGTGTCACACTCCATCATAGCCATAAACGAAGTGCCATCCATAAACACTTAATTTACAATTAGCTGCAATACTTCGTAATCATGTATGTATGTGTAGAAGGTATAAACCCCTTGTCAGCGTTCTCACAGTGTGTGTGAAGTGGCCAACGTTGAGACTTAAGACCTACTTGAAAGTCTCGAGTGGAGCTTTGCGTCTAGAGCTTTGCGTGTCACACACCATCATAGCCATACAAACGAAGTGTCATCCATAAACACTCAATTTACAATTAGCTACAATACTTTATAATCATGTATGTACGTGTAGAAGGTATAAACTCCTTGTCAGCCTTGTCACAGTGTGTGTCAAGTGGCCAACGTTGAGACTTAAGACCTACTAGTACTTCGAAGTCTAGAGTGGAGCTTTACGTCTAAAGCTTTGCGTGTCACACTCCATCATGGCCATAAACGAAGTGCCATCCATAAACACTCAATTTACAATTAGCTGCAATACTTTGTGATCATTTATGTATGTGTAGAAGGTATAAACCCCTTGTCAGCGTTCTCACAGTGTGTGTCAAGTGGCCAACGTTGAGACTTCAGACCTACTTCGAAGTGTAGAGTGGAGCTTTGCGTCTAGAGCTTTGCGTGTCACACTCCATCATACATGTAGCTATAAACGAAGTGTCATCCACAAACACTCAATTTACAATTAGCTGGGATACTTTGTGATCATTTATGTATGTGTAGAAGGTATCAACCCCTTGTCATCGTTCTCACAGTGTGTGTCAAGTGGCCAACGTTGAGACTTAAGAATGCTTCAAAGTCTAGAGTGGAGATTTGCGTCTAGAGCTTTGCGTGTCACACTCTATCATAGCCATAAACGAAGTGTCATCCACAAACACTCAATTTACAATTAGCTGGTATACTTTGTAATCATGTATGTATGTATGTGTAGATTGTAGAAGGTATAAATCCCTTGTCAGCGTTGTCTCAGTGTGTGTCAAGAGCCCAACGTTGAGACCTAAGAATACTTCGAAGTCTAGAGTAGACTCAGTGACTGGCATGAGGGATTTCAAAAGCTGTATACGTCTAAAAGACGACCACTTTCCTACCCTTATGTAACCACTACGTTTCACGTTTACCGTAGGCGGTGGTAATGTTGAGACCTTTTGAGAGTACTAAACCTTTTTCTCTTAGAAGGCCACACCAAGTAATTTGTATGGATGACGTCCTCTGGAGACCCTAAATCTAATGCGAGAGCGCGAAAAGAAACAAGAGGGCCGAAAAAAAACAAGATGCCTAGATTTGAAATATACTAATAGGCGACGAATGTTAGGACACAAATTGAATGCGAGAACACATTGTAACAACCAACAAGTCTTTTATTCGTCATGAAAACAGCAATAAATCAGTAAAACAACAGTTTTCGCCCTTCGCCCTGTCCTGTCTCTTTCCTTTCATCACATCTTCCAGTCTTGCGATTTACGGCACTGCCGCAGAGTTACAGGAAGCGGAATTTCTTGTTTTTTTTCCTGGGAACATGCCAAAATCTGTGCACGCGCGGACGTCATCTATACAAATTACTTTGTGTGGCCTAACAGAAACCATCGTTATGTAAGCTAGATTTGCGGTAGCTTCTGGCAAGAAAAACGAACACACATCAGTCACCATTATTCTCAAAGGAGCCATCAAACACGGCGATTCACAGTAGTATTTAATCTTCGTAAGTGCGTAGTGATCTTCACTAATTCATGCCCTTAAGCGACAACCTGCCGCCAGGCATTAAAAAGAGCTGTGGAAAGCAAAGTTAAGACGACAACATTACCAAAGACTGCCAGGCAGGAGCTGTTAAACCTCTATAGTCTGTTATATACCACTGCAGTGCGGCGTGCGCCCGGGTAAATGCCGATATCTGGCGCGGAAATTCTCTTCGATTTACTCAGGCTTTTACGACGGAGAAGACTCGGAGGATTCTAGAAAGTGTCGTTATATAATCTAGTGTCTGTCAGCCAAAGTTCATCTTCAGTCGTTACGTTCTGCACTTTTAAAGCTTTAATTGACGACGAGGTAAACACTCATGAGATATCAGGCCTAATGTGCAGCACTAAGTTGTTAATCGTGATCGCTATTATTAGATACAGTACGCAGTGCAGGCAAGGCAGGGGAGACCTCACCGGTACCGCCTCTCAGAATGTATTAGGATAGATGCACGGCCGCCATCTTTGTCTGTTTCGAGATTTCTATCATACAATAAAGTTACAACAGTGGCAAATGGGAATAAGTTTTTAGTGTACTACAACTTCTTATTTTTGAACTTTTTTGTCTGATTCAAAATACATATTCAGAAAAGTTACATCGTATCAAAAATCAGGTTTACAACATGCAGCATTCTAAAGCACATCATGAAGAGTTCTTGAAGGATTGTTTTGGCAGTTTGTACTAACTCTGTCTAGACGCCTTTCGGAGAAAATACTAGTAGTACAATGTTGGGTTCTAATGGGGTGAAGATTTTCCACTTGACCCCAGGCTGGGAAAGGTGAAGGTGGCTCTGTGAATAATTGGACAATTGTTCACGGCAGGGTTTGTTTTTGTTCCAAAGGACTAGGTTTGTATTCTCATCATGTCTTCCCTGCAAGAAAGTTTTGAGGACGTTTGGCATTTTACTGAGTGTGTGTGTGTGTGTGTTTGTCTGTGTGTGTGTGTTTCTGTCTGTGTGTTTCTGTCTATGTGTGTGTGTTACTGTATTGTGTGTTTGTCTCTCTGTGTGTTTGTGTATCTGTGCATGTGTTTCTGTGTGTGTTTCTATATACTAGTACATGTTTCTGTGTGTTTCTCTCCGTGTGTGTGTGTGTCTGTCTGTCTGTCTGTCTGTCTGTCTTTGCGTGTGCTTGTGTGTGTTCTCCGTGACGACATCGCTGATGTCCACGTTCAAGGTTCAAGGTGTGTACTTGTGTGTGAGTGCTGTGTGTGTGTGTGTGTGTGTGTGTGTGTGTGTACCGTAACGCCCGCCCCCCCCCCCCCACGCGCGCGCGCAGACACAGACACACAAAGGTAGACTCCTGATAAACTTGTTAATCTTAACCTGCCGGCGACGATAAAAAAGTGCCGCCATATCCTTTGCTGTGTACTTTCACAGAGGTTGCCATGGATGCGTGATTATATTGCACGTACTCCATGAATGCAATTATAGTGTTAGATTCTAATGCATTTACATGTACTCTTTGATCGATGAAGTCTTCTGTCCTCTTCATGTTTACTACCTGGTTACGGGGAAAAGATAGATCATAACAACATCATCTTGACATTCCCGTCCTTGTCTTTGGTTACCATAGCACCAGACGGACGATCAAAACAAGTTTCCACGGCGTGATGATGACTCTCGCTGCGGGCGAAAACAACCATTTGCGAACGTGGAAGCGGCAATTTTCAGTCAACTTGCGTTCTCAAAGAGGTCGAGCGTCTCCTTTCCGCCTGAGTGGTTAGGCCAGGAGAGCTAAATGGCTTCCTAATTTCGATACTTCAAGCTCTAATAGCTATGGATCCATCTAGAACTGCTGTTGACAGAATGTTTTTCTCGAGGGAGCGCGAGCCGATAACTTGCTTGTTTGTATAGTTTTGTACCAAAACGTGATCAAGTTTGCAAAATAACACAGAACTTCTCGTGTGCTGTAGCACCATGAAATACTACTAGTACCTAATCGTAAAATAGAGACATGGCTGTTCAAAAAGTGCGGTTTCCGAGCCCTATAGACTTGCACATTACAAACGGCCATTACGCTAGACCTTCACATTCGTGAACACTTCAACAAGTCTAAACATCTGTGAAGACACAGTCTGTTGTTCTTTTCCGCTCCCTTATCACCATTCGTCGCACACTCCATGCCTCGAGGGCGTCCTATAGACTGGAACATCCACAAACTATACACATACCGCAAAACCAACATGGCCGACAAACAATCAGAAGTTGTGCTACTTCAGACTCTGTACCTAGTTTACCGGATAGTGCGTTAGTTATATTCATTTTTTGAATGAAGGGAACAGATTTTCTGGTATTCTGAGCGTTGTGTGGTTAGTCTGGGTGAGCATGGAGGAGTATAATAGACACTCTGCAGGTGTATCGTGGTTTACAACCGTCGTACAATTCCTTCCTTGTCGCTGAGTGTGCATATTACACTGCACAGCCAAAATGCCCGGGAGTGAAGCTTTGACCAAATCTCTGCAGGACGGTTTGGCAAAGTTTTTCCACTTCTACAGTCGACTGGACACAGAGGAACTTGTCAATGACGAGGAGACTGAGGAAAATACGAATTCGAAGTAAGTCTTCCCCCGTATCTACATTCTTGTAAATTGTCCCTGGTAGGTATAGGGGCGTTACTGGTATAACAGGTTGAATTTACAAACACTCATATATTTTAGTGTATGTAAACAAATAGTAAGGCCGATCGTTGTAACCAAGGACATTACGTAGAGACTCGTTGTAACGTATATTATAACGTCTAGGATTGGATTGGAGTCGAGTCGACATTCATGTGATGTCTTTGTGTAAACAGCAAAATAGAATAAGCAGATTAGATAGTAATTCACGCTTTAGCCGAGTGTAAAAACCGTTCGGTTAAAGCTATGAGTACAAAACATCGCGATGAGATAACGGTGAGAAACAACATTGTTGTAAAGTTGAAAAACAGAAAAAAGATATTTGGAAGTCTAAAATACTTATGTTCTCAGGAGAGAAAAAACGCAAGAGTTCAACAAGGTAGACCAGAGAGACTTGGAGGACGAAGATGTGGTTATATTTGACCGAACGTGGTACGTCACACGGCCGTCAGGACGACGTGATGGTGACGTCGACCCTCTGGTGATGACGTTACGTCCAGCCGGACAGACCGACGTCACCAGGACGCTGAGACATCTGAGAGGGTTGGTCACGTGCTGTCCTCTCCTTGGATGGATCACAACTGTAAGCGTTAAACGTTTGACTAAGGCCACAGCAAGTAAATTTTATGGATGACATCCTCTGCAGATTCCAAATCTAATGCGAGCGGGCGAAAAAAAAACAAGGCGGCCCGAAAAAACAAGGTTCTTACATTCTCGAATTTTGACTCAATCTTTGTACAAATGGTTTTGATTCAGTGGGAACAATACATATACACAGCCGGCATCACATATCACTGCATCAAAGTAAGAAACAAAACATTAAATCAGAGCCTTTTCTTGTTTCCACTCTTCCTAGTCATCTGCCATCCACCTTCCGGCATGGGAACAGACATCTTTGCACATTTTCGGCATGGTGACCACTGTCAGAAGGCAACATAATTTCGTGTTGTTTTTTTTCAAAATCAGGCGAAAATTAATGCGCGCGCTGATGTCTTCCATAAAAATCACTTGCTGTGGCCTGAACATGGGTATACCTATATAGTACTGAAAATTACTGAAAGTTTACAAATTTCTATATATACTCGTCTGAATATAAGGTAGAGATTCACCTGTTGTCCTTTATTTCTGTTCCTTGCCACAATAAGTGATATATAGTTCAACAAGAAAGGTTTTCCAAACAGATACATATTTGAAAGTCTTCCTTCTCTCACTTACAACAGACCTGCCCTGTCCTGTGTACCTGTCGGCGGAGAGGGCATGAGCCCCTCTAGTCACTCTCACATGGAGCTTGGTACCGGCAGAAACCAGTCTTGACTTCCATTTGGTGATCCCGTACGACCCACTAACAACAGGAACCTGAAGGTGAGACTAACTAATAAAATAGATGGAATTGGATTTATGCTAGAATGTTTGCTATATACCCATGTAACAAAGTACAACTAATCTAAAATGTGTATGTCTACTCCTGGTTACTTTAATGTGCATTTTACACACGATCAAAAAAGCGTCGCCAAACGGCTGAATCTACCATTGCAGGAAAACTCGCATCCAGCTGGATCGCTAGCGGTCCCCACTGACTCGTGCAGATCGGATTCTGACATCTGGGGAAGTCTCCATCCTTTCGTCGCCTCTGGTGACTGCGCCGCTGGTGACCCGCCGCTGGTGACCCGCCTCTGGTGACCATCTACGTCATCACAGTTTAAACGTCACAAAGCAAGATGGCGGCGTAGGGATCGGTGATGGAACGAGTTAGGACAAAGTTGGACCACGTAGACCAGAAATGTCCCTTTCCAAGTCAGGAGCAAGCTTCAAGTTCCAGCCTCTCGTGACCGGCCCTCAGATGAATGGGCAGGAGTCGCAGGGCCCTATACAAAGCTTTTTAATGTGCTGTAAGTAAAAGTTTTGGAAAGTTTTGGACAATACCACAGTAGACAGAGGTGGAGTGTCGATGTGCCCATGTGGACGTTACCAAGATTCAATGCTGACCGGTCTTTGACCGTAAATGATTCATTATCCTCAGTACCAGATTCCTGGGCGTATCCTTGCAACATTCCGCATAAGTATATAAGAGACCCTCTTGCTCCACAGTAAGCACGATGTCAGGCGAATAGTGTGAAATACTATGGTTATTACCTATTTCATCTGTGAATCTGTACTTAAAATGACTGTACAATAAAGGTTATTATTATTATTATTATGTTTTCAATTATATGACCATTTTTCAACGAGGTTTGGTCAGCTTTAGTAAGCTCAAAAAGCGAGCGCGCGCGTGTGATTTTCACCATAACGTTACATACTGTGTGTTTTACTATGAGGATGGCGTTCAGCACCAAGGACAGGTACCGTTTGCATAGAAACATGTGGTGCCGAAGCTGATTGAATTAGCAGATTCCGGCTACTATACTTTGACCAAATTGAATATACGTATTGCTGCTGACACTGCCTGTGTGTTATTTTGACACAAACTAGTCCGAAATTTTGAGCAGAGAGACATTATTTTTCTGTGGGGATTGATTTTTGGCGGTAATGTAGTTGTGGTTTATCAGGGTAAATTAGACCAGCCGCGAGTGTTGTACACAGCTGTGTCACAGTGGTACAGTCCACTCAAGTTTGCGTCTGTTGGAGCCACGCGGGGAAGACCAGGAATTATTTGTCAACTTTTTGGTAAATTTTCGGCTTCCAGTTCGAAAAACATTCATTCTAACTTGTAGAAGAAATCTTCGGGGATGTTTCTACGGCGGAGTTGTGTCGTTTTCTGGATTTTAGGGCGAAGAAATTGCGGATTTCCTGACGTGGTGGATTTTGGAGAAGACGAGAAAATGGCGCCCGAAGGATGACGGCGTGGTCGTGGGGAGGGCAGAGTTTTCACAAGGTAAGGCAACAAGCCGTGCCGTAGAATTTATTTCCCGCAAACTGATAACAACATACACGTTTCGGTATATTCGTGGTAAATTTGTGTGATTTTGAGAATGCTTTGTGTAGTTCTGGGTCGTTGTTGTTTCAATATATCTCACTGTGATATTCACTCTTCACGTCTTCTCCCAGAATATCACAGTTAGGTATTGCTACTCTTGAGTTAAATTTTCAAGAGAAAAAAAATTGACGTTTGTTTTTGTATACCTGGTCTAATAATTTTGCCTCATATCTGTGAAACAGAAAGGAAACATGGGTAGAATATTTGTGGGAATTTCCCTCATGGAAAACGAAATTTTGCCTATCGATATGCATGCAACATTTCTCTTCATTTGGCTGGGATGACAAAGAAACACCACTTAAACTTGTTTCTTGGATTTGCCATCCTTTCTTCCTGATTAAAAAAACATGTAACGTTACTTGAAACATTCAGGTTTGTGTCAACCCCAAAATCCTCATCTTTTGTCCTAAAGTCTGTTTTTTTACCTTCAATAATTTTAGGTATTGGGTAGGAATTCTGTAATGTTGTTACATGCATCTGATTTGTTTTTTGTTTATTCGTAGAAGCAACTAATAAACATCGAACACTCTCAACTGTATGAAGCCAAAAAAAAACCCTCTAACGTTACATGTGTAAAGTTAGTGTAATACATATATTCACATACATGACATTGTGTTAAACCAAACCAACTGTACAGAGTACCCTTGAGTGTCTACAAATGCATAGCAACTAATCAAGTCTTAAAAGTTGTTATATTACAAGTCTCCTCCTGGGTACAATTTTTCTCATCAATACCCTAAATTGATTATTCTTTATACAGTTAGGTGATTGTGTGCTAGCTGTACATGTATGTTTAAAACATGACTTTTAAGCTCTTCAAGAATGGCATCAAAAGTTTCTGGTCTAATAGTAGTTGTTAAGCTTTTTTATTGTCTGTGTATGACAGGGCTGATAACACCTTGTAACTTGACCTTGTTTTCATGTGATTCTGTAGTTAGCTGTGTGCTGAGGGTTTGCCAGCTCTGCAAGTGTTCCTGTCCAGATGAGATCAGACTTGTGATGGCAGAGGCACCAGGTGATCGGATAAAGGAGTATCAGGCCAGGTGAGGAAAATTGGAACTCTGCATTTTGCGTACCATTTACTTGATTATTTGAGACAAGTGTGTAACTTGGTATCTCTACATAGTTAGGTGGCTGCTGACTGATGCAGTAGTGATGATTCCTGTCTGAACCTGACAAGACTGGGCCAAAGACCAAGCAATTTGAAGACCCAAGAAGAATAACAGGTGGGAAAAAATCTGAATCCTGCATTTTCCAAGTTGCATTTTTTGGGTATTTTACCCAATTGTGTTATTTCTAATGTCTCTATACTATTCGTTAGGTGGCTGCTGACTGATGCAGTAGTGATGATTCCTGTCTGAATCTGACAAGACTGGATTGGACCATACCAGACCAGGCAACCCCAGAAGGCTCAAGAAGAAGATCAGGTGAGAAAAATCTTAATTCTACATTTTGCAAATTCCACTTGCTTGGAGCATTTGAGGAAAGTGTGTAACTTGTTATGTCTGTATATAGTGGTAGTACTTGGTAACTTTTTTCTGTTGCTAATATGTCAGAATTACAGTCACTGTGACTTTAAAGAAATAACACATAGCCTGGATTTTTTTATTTATCAATGACAAGCAAAGGGATAGTTCAGTTGTTCAAGTTTCTTATCTATCATTTAATGGTCAGTGTTGAGTGGACAAATTTTGCATCCCACTAATTATTTCCTTTCCTTATTAAATGTAGGTGTGTCCTGACGTTCCTGTGCTGACTGAGAGAAACCAGTGATGACCGACGACTCCTGTCCAATGCAGACCAAATGAGGGCTTAGCAAACCAGTTGACTTGAAGACACAGAAAATTTGAGGCACAGCACAGAAGACCACCAAGACATTGAACTGGTAAGTTTGTATTTCCAAACATACATTTGAAAGGTTGACATGTTACGAAGATAACCTACATAGTGCCATCAGTGACAGTTTTGTCTGTATTGAATATAAACATTTTTTGTGGTCGGTTACATACTCTTTTTTGTAAAATGTAATCAGATTTAGCTATAAGTACATCAGTTATGTAACTTAAGTAATTTTTGCTGCAGGCAATATTTCCTGCAGTTGGTGATACACAAATTACTGTAAATCACTTTGTGGAGGTGGCAGGTGTAGGAAAAAGAGAGTTGGAAAATTATTTGTTCACGGTTATGATAAGTTTGTGGCACAGAAGTGACCGTGAAAACCCTGAATACGAAAGGACTGAAAAATCGTAATTTACAGTGAATCTTAGACCACACCAATTTAATGGTCTTTCTTGGTTCTCAGGTTTGCCTGCTTGATTTTTTTAATGATTTCCAAAAAAATATGCTCACATTTTGGCACATAAAGAAAGCCCTTGTCTTCCTTGTTGTTACTGTCACAACTTTTCTATTTATCCATGCAGTGATTTGATTTAAAGATGAAAATTCATTGTTTGAGTTATAAACCAGCCCAGTATTTTGAAGGTTGTGGCTCCTACCATACCACAATGTATTTGGAGTATGAAAGGATGCCAGGCGGACTTAAATTTAAAAATTTTCCCCAGAGTGCTGTGCTTTATTGATTTTCTGCAAAAATCTGTGATAAAATTGGTGTGATCATTGTAAACATTTTCTTAGGAGGGCCAATTGCTGACTTTTGTTTTTCTGTTTTCAAGATGACATTGTGGATGATCCGGAGACTGGACTGCAGCAGGAGGAAGGACAGTCACCAGACTTTTGTTGACAGATCTCAACCTGAGTGTGTAAAAGAAGATGGGGAGGTGTGAGTATGTTTCCTTACTAACACATGACAACACTCCATATGCACACACAATGCACTCTCTTTTGCTCAGTTCACTCTACTCTGAGGGTCGGCAAGCTCTTTTTAGGTGAGGAGCCATTTGACGTTTGTCATCTTTAATTCGATGACATTAAGGACACTGAAAAATTCTTTGTATCGTATATTATTATTAGTTGAATGCCAAATTGCCCCAAAATTGTGACTTTGGACCTCTATAACAAAAGTATCTTAGTCGGCCACTTCAATTCCACCTATTTTTCCTGAATTCATGTAAATTAGCATCACTGACAAAATTTTAGTAAACTGTTGAATTTGCCCCAAAATTGTCGCTTTGGACCTATACACAGTTAAATTCTCCCACCAAAAAGCTTTGAATTAACTCCACGTTGTTATCCTCTTTGTATCGTATAGTGGAATGCCAAATTACCCCAAAATTGTTGCTTTTGACCCGTCCACTTCTAAATTCTCGTGCCAAAAAACTTTGTATCTT